AGAATTTCCTGTACATGTTCCAGCTTATCAAGTCAATATGTTATGTGGTTCTGGACTGAAGTAAGTTATTATATAAGTTATATAAGTAATGTTCCTTCAGAAAAGCTACTTCATTTTAATATGACCCTGCCTATAGATATGAAGTCATGTTATCTTTCATTCTTTATTTAATCTTTTGCTTAACTTGAAAAGATTCTCATAAAAGCCTAAAAATAGAAAATTTTATTTTCTTTTATAAAAAAACACTCATACCTTTTGCTGATTTTTCAAAATGATAAAGTTGTTTGCATTAATTTTTTAATTACATCAAATTTCTTGACACACTATTATACCATAATAGTATGTATCTTTATGGAAATGTACGCCATATAAATAATTATTATATTAATAAGTTGTAGAAATATTTTTTATTTTATATTTCATTTACTTATTATTGTTATTAGAGCAATTGCAAATGGTTACCTCTCTTTAAAAAGTGGAGAGAGTAATATTATTGTAGCTGGAGGTCAAGAAAGTATGAGCCAAGCGCAACACACAATTTATCTTAGAAATGGTGTCAAAATGGGAGATTGTAATTTTGTTGATACATTATTATGCGACGGATTAGTTGATGCATTTACTTCTATTCATATGGGAGTGACAGGTAAATTTAAAAATCAAAATCGATGAATACAAATTAATGTATTTATACATAATCTCAAAAGAGGAGATGAAATAAAATATTCTTTTTAATGATTTTTAAATAGCTGAAAACGTTGCTAAGGATTTTGGAATAACTAGAGAAGAACAAGATCTTTATGCGATATTATCTCAACAAAAGGCAGCAGCTGCCATTTCAGCAGGACATTTTGATAAGGAAATTGTTCCTGTAACAATATTGAACAAAAAAGAATCTATTCTTATATCTAAGGATGAATATCCTAAACCTTCAACTACTATACAGGATCTTTCCAAATTGAAACCAGTTTTTATTAAGGTACTAAAAACATGCAAGGACAAATACAAAAGAAGAAGAAAAATAAACAATATCATAACTATTTTTAGGTTAATGGAACTGTTACTGCTGGTAATGCATCTGGTATAAATGATGGAGCAGCAGCAGTAGTTCTTATGACAAAGGAAGAAGCGATCAAAAGAGACATAATTCCTTTGGCTCAAATTGTTGGAATAGCTGAGAGTGGAGTAGAACCAAATGTTATGGGTATAGGTCCAATACCAGCAATTGAATTACTTGTAAGTTCCATTATTGTATATTGTATTTTTAGAAAAAAAAAAAAGTAATCTATCTTGATTTACCAAATACAATATGCATTATATTCATGTATTTTAGTTACAAAAAATCAAATGGAGTAAAGATGAAGTAGATCTCTACGAATTGAATGAGGCATTTGCTGCACAATCACTGGCATGCATCAGAAAACTTGATTTAGATCCTAATAAAGTTAATATCAATGGTGGTGCTATTGCTTTAGGTCATCCTATTGGAGCCTCTGGTATGTATCACAAGCTATAATAATGAAAGTACTCTGTATTATATTATAAATTTATATTTTGCAGGAGCTAGAATTTTAGTAACTTTACTTCATTCATTAGAAAGAATAGGAGGGAAAAAAGGCATTGCAGCATTATGTGTTGGTGGGGGAATGGGAATTGCCCTTGCTATAGAAAGAAAATAACATTTTATGTTCATTCATTTTGTTACTTATTATTGTGAAAATACAAAATTTTATATTACGCGGTTTTTAAGATGTATGAAGGAAAAAACCTTTTATTTTTAAATATTTTTATTTTTAAATACCATAACTATTCATCAACTTTTTGATTAACAGATGATCTAATTACTTAATGTTCTTATATTTTTATATTTGTTTTATGACAATAAAATATTGACATATAGTTAAACAATTAATCATCAACTATGAAATTATAGTATTTAAATAACTGTGGAGTATGATGATAGACAACATAAACTATGCATGCAATTGTGGTAGTCAATATTATTTAAAATATATCAAATGTATTGAATATAATTTAAAAATATGGTTTGAAATCTGTACAATGTACATTATCCTGATTATATAATATTTTTTATTAGACATACACTTGAAAATGAACTATATGCAAACATTCAAAAATATTACATTATTATATGAAAGATAATTATGGAAAATCATAATAATTTATAAGGCACAAGCTTCTTTATAAATAACTAAATTAAGACTTCTCACTATTTTTGTACTAATTAGCCAAACAAATATTGCTGAGCTGGTGGTTATTCCAATCTAATGAACTAATTCAGAGTGCCTTCTTTTAGATAGATTTAATATAAACTTTATTACGTTTATATATGTATCAACAATAAATATGTTAAAAAATAGGTATTGCCTATTTTTGTGTTAAGATATTTTTGTTATTAATAACAAACTGTATATTATTAATTTTAACATAAAAAGTACACACGTATTTACAAGCATTTAATTATGTAATTAATGTAATTTATACATCAACTTTACTAATATTTACTAAAGACAAAATTCATCTATATGTAATTACAATATATGGAAATACAACCTCGCATAAATGAATTTAATTACTTGATAATGGCAATATATTTGTTGTATTTTTTTTTTTAAATATTACACATAAATACCTAATTTACATTGTAAACTGATATTACTTTTGTATATAATTATAGATCTTGCATACATTCATACAATGTGACTTATATAATTTAAATTTGTATAACACAAAATGTTTACGTTATTTTTTTCTATATTTTCTATATATGAAATAAGATATATGCGACACTAGAATGATATTCAAAAATTTAATAATCTTTTTAGCGTTTAAAGAATATGTGCACTGTATAAATTGTAAATAATTCATCAATGTTCATTAGAATTATTAATGATTATGAGTTATTCATCTTTACTATTTTTAGGCTCCTTGGCTTTCTTGGTTTCTAACATATTTTGTACAGCTAATACTCCTTCTTGTTGCCTTAATTGGACACGTTTTTCTTTAAAAGTACGTTTTGTATCTTTCCTATTGCTTTTGGATTGATTTAATTGCTGTAGCTGATCCTTGATAGCTGGTATAATGCGTACCTTAAATTTATATAAGCATAGAAGTATCGTCATATTTGATATGTTTCCTAAAACTATGAAAAATAGAAAAGATGATCAATAATATTATATATGACTATTTATTCCTTAAAGTTATAGTTACCTATTATAAAATTTGCAAATTATCCAAGTATATTCAGTAAATTAAAAATCTGATATACTTAATGGTACAGCAGGATAATATCCACTATAATCTTTTTTATCTTTATTAAAAGGAGTAAAAAACTCTGGAGCATCATTTTTTGTAATCAAATCTAGACTTGGTATGCATATTTCTGAACAACTTTTAATTATATAACCCCATATAGAATCTACATTAAGTGCTGTATCTTTTAGACAAAAATAGGATCCCCAAATTGTTGAATTTAAAATTTTATCATCTGGATGCGATAAGCATTGATGAATCATACCTTCTGACATTTGTTCTTCTACAAGTGCTATTGTATCACAATTACAATATACTTTTGGTACATAAATATCTTGTATAAGATTATCGCCAATATATATGCACCGTGGATTTTGTTTACATGATATTCTACTAAAAAATTCTAGAAGTTCTTTCCAATTCCCACGACTATATACATTGCCTCTTAATAATTCATTACATGATATAATATCAATTTCTTTATTATTCATTATAGTCATAAAGGGCTGCCCTTGTATGAAAAATCCCGGTTTTTTGGCATAACAAACAACAATGTCAAACAAGGATCTCCAATTTTCCCCAAGAGCATAAGTCGCAGTTAATTCTACAAAATCAACATTTGATCCAGTAATTAAGAAAGTTATTTTATCTTTCTTCATTTCCTGGATCCAAGATATTGTTTCTGGACTGCATTTATGTAGATATTTATCTGGATTTTTTTTTAAAGCAGGAAAAAATTGCCCTTCGTCTAATTCAAAATGTTTAGGATCAAACATCCAAATCAAACCACTTAACATATCAGGCCATATATTATATACATCTAAAGGTTTATTATTTTCTTCATCCAACGTATCTACTGCTCTAGCAAAAATAAGAGCAGATGGAATATCGAAATAATCCAACAGAGACCGCATTTTCATATTTAATGGTTCATTCCAAGTAGCAAGCATGTCATTAGAAAATATATCCATTACATGCCATCGTTGCTCAGGATATATTTCTTTAATTTTGTCTATACTCATTAACTTACTACCATGACAAGCTCTATGAATTTTACCGTCTGGACTTATTCTAAGTATATTTCCCCTATCAAAGTCTAAAAATAAGCCCTTCTGCATAAAATCAAGATCCTTATCGCTTAATGGCTTTAATAAGTATTTTCTACTATACCCTTTTTCTTTCACCAAATAATTAGCTAATATTTCGTATTCTAAATGCACTAGATTTGTTATATTATATTTTAAAAGAGTATTATCCAAATCAAACCCAATACAGTCATAATCAGAAATTTTGAAGACACTCATATTTATTTTAGATGACACACAAGGAAATGTTTGATTAGAAACACGTTTAATGTAATAAGAACACTTATCAACAAAACGAAATAAACTTTGTTTCACTATCTTATCGTACATCAAATTATTCGTAAATGATCGAAGTTGTAAACCTTTACGATAAAAATTCAAATTTTTTAACATATCTACGAAGCATTATTACAACTATTTATTACATCGACATTTCTAATAATTGAATATTTTCTAAAAGTATTTAGAACCAGTTAAAAGATACAATCTTTGAGTTCGAATATGGATTAAAAATTTGATTGCATTGAAAATGTACACATGAAAATAAAATAGCACATAGCCAATCTAATCAAATAAAAAGTACTAGACCGTATTATATATTACTTGGCATATTATTTTACTTATTAGTTTCTTTGTTATATTTCAACATAACTTTGTATCTCGTTTTTTTCGATATATAAATAGTCTGAAGCGTACGTTTTATTATAAAGACTGTTAAATAAAACCTAATATCTATTATTTCCTATAAAACATAACCTCGGAATTTTAAAACGATTCTTCTCCTTTAATAAGACGAACAATATCTTGTTAACCATTTATTTTATACGTAATATTATGAAAACATGTATATATCTATAGCACATTATATTAATAATCAATCCATTTACAAATATTAATCAAGAAAAAAAAATTGCGGGAAAATGCAGGTTCAGAAACTCACCTTTGGTGGTATTTGCACAAATCGTATGTTTCTTGCTTGAACAAAAAACATTTCGAAGGAGAACTTATCGCCTCTTGGATCCGTAAATAAACAGTTTTTCATCATGACATTCATATATCTATAAAAATACATATTAAATATAACAAACAAGTTGAAAATAAAATAACATTCTATTTTTAATTTACGTACGCATCCACATGTTCTATGGTACCATAAACCGATGCTTCATTTCTCAAGTCTATTGTCGTTTGTTTATTTTCGAGAGCTTTTAATAAAATTGACAAACTATTGTAGAAATAATATTTTTCACGTGGAGAATTCTGATACATGTTTATTTACTAACTAATGATACTTCTTTCGAGCACAATATACACAGTTGACTTTTTAAACAGAAATACCTAACGATAAATTCCACGCCAATGATTGGTCCTTCTTTTTCTAATGCTCATCATAAATCGCTCACAAAAATAGGTCAACGTAATGAGAATAAATGACTTATAATAGATTTATATTTGAATACACATCGTAATATATAGATCTGTATATAAAAGACAAATAAATTGTACACGTATTGCGCAAAATAAAATTTTCGAAATGCTTCAAGGATACTAACCAATCGTTTTCTATTATTTTGAATTTTTACCAATAGCGTTACACCGAACAAAACAATAATTTTTTTCGAATATTTGTTTGAATATTTCGAAAAAAATATTCGATATGAAAATTGAAATCTGAATTGAAATACAAATAATGATTTTTATTTTTAAATAAAATTCTCTTATCTTTTCGTGATTATGAAAAATATATTTGTAAATATAAGATATAACCAGAGAAAAGTTTATTTGTCAAAGTAATATACTTAACCGCATAACCTATTGTAGACTCAATGCTGGTCTATATATAGTCACCTATAGAAACTATTACTAGAGGAATTAGATTATTTCCCAATGAATATACAAAGGCGTCTTATAAATGGTTATATCCTATATATGTCAAAAATAATTATATATATAGATTTGATAGCATTCGAATTAATGTCATCATTTATTGAAATCGGAATATAAATCGAAAATAATTATTTCGTTAAACTAAGCTGTTAATCGATTAGAATCATGCATCTATTCTTAGTTCTTCTTTCATCTTAATGATTCTTTTTTTCATACTTTTATCGTCAAAACTGAATATTGAAGAAAAAAAAGGAATAAAAATATATAAATCATAAGTAATTACAATGAATTTATCTATTTGCTATTTTACAATTTTTTATTGAAAAATATAAGAAGTAACATTTTCGATCCTTCGCTCAGTAATTAGTGAAACAGGAGAAGAAAGAAAAATCTTATTTTATAATATATATTAATTGTAACGTGCACTCGTATTGCAGCTATTATCATATCCGTGATCATGCATGTTTGCGTAATTTCTCATCTCGCTTTAACTGTCCTCATTATTTAGGCACGTTCAAGCCTTGAAAGAGGCTTAATGTTAATAATACTACGTAAGTTTTTTGAACGTTCGTAATTTCAACGTAATTTTTCATTGTATTGTATTTCGATTAAAAGATATTTACTTGCTTTTATCATAATGCTTGTGTATATATATATATATATATATATATATATATATATATATATATATATAAAAGCTCATTTTTGAAAAGAACGAACAAATTATTGAAACATTGTTGAATCTAGTAGTAAATTGGATTTTTAAACGGCAATTTTCAAAATGGTAGAAATTTGTATGTTTTTATATAATTTGTCTTATGTCAATCGAAATGCAATCACCTTTGCTCCCTTCGGTTCATTCAGTGCCATGTGACCTGGTCTCATGAGTACCTTCTTCCTGTGAACACCACTCCCACTTTGTCCCTCTCTAGCTCAGCTAGCTATTGAAGCTCTAATCGGCTTCCTGGATGGAACATATTATCTGTCTGATTGTAGATCTCAACGTCGCAATATCTAGCGAAACCGAAGTTTTCTCTCATAAGCTTCTCAGTTCGCAATTCATCGTGCATAAAAGATCTATGTATGTATTCGCAAGTCAATATACATATGTCATTTTTAAAAATTTTATCAAAATTTGATATGGAATGCACAGTGGTGCAGTGGTTCTGCAGCTGTGCGTTTGATAAATCGACACTTTGATTTTAACGATCTTATCAAAGGATTCGAATTGTCTACTCTCTACTAAATCCGATTATAAAAAAGAATCGTAAATAATTATTTGTGTTCTGAGATGAAACACATGTTTTCCGATCACCTTTCTTCTCAATTCTTCTCAATTTCTTAAATAAATTTATTATTTTAAAGGAAAAGTGTTATTGGATTTACGAATATCGATCTAGTGAAACATTTGAAAAATATTAAAAAATTAATTATCATGTCTAACGTCTTGCACGTTATTATAGTTGTTGGTCGTGATTACAGGGAGAACGATCATCATCGTTTACAAAGAATATGTTACAGTGATGCAAAAAACGGAATGATATCAACAAAGTTCCCAGTATCCAGAGATAGAATACTGAAGGACTCCTGAAGCTGTGTATGTTCGAGATTTAAATGATGTCGCTGAGACAGAGATTGTTTGCTATCGTTACAGTTTTCCGCGGATCTTCCATGCCGTCGACTAAAGAAGGCCATACGTAAAATATTTCTTACAAGCATTAATAACAATTTCCGAACTATCTTTTACTTGGTAAAATTTTATAGATCGGCAACCGAGCAGATTGAGAAGATGTCGTCCGAGAGCGAGATTGAAAGCAAACAACGAGTAGAGGTCACACCTCTGGACAGATTACAAGCGGTTGGTAATCGAATTGAATATAAATATATAATTAATATATTTTTATCATGGCCTTTATAGTTTGTACACATAAATTATTTTCTTTATTGAATTAATTGTAAAAATTAATTTTTATTATTATTTAAAAGATAAACAAATTCTTCATGTCTTATAACGAAGATGATCTTACTGGTCAATTTATTCAAGCAGTATGTCTCTGTAACACTACTTGACGTAACATTTAATCGCGGCTGTAGGTGGTTGATTGGATGGATAAAAACATGCTCCTCATCTTAACTATCGCCGCTGTTCTTGCCGGGTCGAGTCTTGGTTTTCTAGGTCGATTGCTTGATCTAACGCCCCAGTCAATAATGCTCATCAACTTTCCAGGAGAGATCCTTATGCGTTTGTTGAAAATATTCATCTTACCACTCGTTACTTCGTCACTTATTACGGGTAATTATAGATTACCTAGAAACCGTGAAAATTTTAAGAAAAATCTTTTTAGTCGAAATGTCTTTTTTTTTTCTTATAGCAATGGCTCAGCTAGATGTTAGAAGTTTTGGGAGAATTGGCTTTAGGACTCTCACGTATTATACCGTCACAACTATTCTCGCTACTATTATTGGTATCACGTTGGTTTTGACGATTCATCCAGGTGATCCAAGAATCAAAAACATTATAATCACTCCGGCAATGGAAGAGCCAAAATTCTCAACGCTCGATCTCTTACTGGATATTGTCAGGTAGAATAATCACGGTCATTGTTATATATATAACAGAAAACGAAATAACAAAATATCTAGATGTTGTTATTTTATTAATTCGATATGCAGAAATATGATACCAGAAAATTTGGTGCAAGCCTGTTTCCAACAGGTTCAAACTTCGTACATCAAGAAAAAAGTGATAATTACTGTAAACATGAATCAGAGCGATCATGTTTTAGAACCAATATTGGTATACAAAGATGGCATGAACATTATGGGTTTGATCATATTTTGCATAACTTTCGGTATTATCGTAGGACAGTTAGGACCAAAGGGAAAACTTATGGTAGATTTCTTTGTCGTACTCAATGAAATCGTAATGAAGTTCGTCGGCATTATTATCATCTGGTGAGCAAGATAAAAACCTTTCTTAAATATTTGAAAATGTTGAATTATTGGTTCTATATTTTTTTTTTTCTTCCATTTAGGTTGTCTCCGTTTGGAATAATGTGCTTAATAGCAGGGAAAATAATGTCTATCGTAAATCTTGTTGCGACTGCACAAATGTTGGGATTGTTTATGATCACTGTTATATTAGGTTTATTGATACACGGAATAATCACGTTACCAATCATCTATTGGCTATTAACTCGCAAAAATCCTGCTGTTTTCTTTAGAGGTATGATACAGGCATGGATTACAGCTTTGGGAACTGCATCGAGGTAATGGAAATTATTAAACGATTTGAATGTAACATTTATAGATTTAAAACAGTATGATCTCTTCACTTTTAGTACTGTTACCTTGCCTATTACTTTCCGATGTATCGAAGAAAACAATAAGATTGATCCACGTATTACACGGTTCGTTCTGTCGGTAGGAGCTATTGTAAATTTGGACGGAACTGCACTTTATGAAGCTGTAAGTGCAATATTTATTGCACAAATAAATGCATTACCGTTGGGTATCAGCGAAATTATAACAGTCAGGTGAAAAATCGATAAGCATATCGCTTTTATTTATATTTTTATTTAGAATACAGGTATCACTCTTTCCTATATCCATGTTTATTATTATTCGTAGCTTGACGGCAACCTTAGCTAGCATAGGAGCGTCAAGTATACCCAATCCCGCTGTGATTAGCATATTATTGATATCGACGACTCTTGGTTTACCTACGGACGATATTTCTTTACTTCTTGCCACAGATTGGATATTGTAAGTTACTTATACATTCTTCTTACGTGCTTTTAAAATTTCTGAATGATCTGAGTTATATCAACATATCGTTCTATCACGCACTTATTTTACTTTCAGAGATCGAATCAGAACTTCTATTAATGTATTAGGCGATGGATATGGAGCGGGTATAGTTTATCATCTAAGCAAAACAGAGCTCGAGAAAATGGATGAAGAAAGGTTGCAAAAACTTGAAACAGGTTCATTATTGAAAGATACATCTGAGAAATGTCCGGAAGAAATCATATCGGACGATCAACAAATTTCCGAGACAAAAATTTGAAACAGACTCGATTTTCTTATGAAGATATTTTTCAAAATATTTGTTTATCTATATATTAATATATAGGCATTGTTATAAAATTTATAATGTACATAAGTAGCTAATTTTATTATATCTTTTATCGCTATAGTAAAACACCTTCTGCTTTCATTTATAATTTTAATATCTTCTATTGTCGTTATAAGTAATAAAGAAAAAGCATAAGGTTTTGTTTTGAAAAAAATGTTATTATAAAACATTTTTATTACAACTTTAAAATTGACTCTTTTTCGAATCACTTTAAGACTTAATATAATATTTGGACATGTAGAATAATTATATATATATATATATATATATATATATATATATATATATATATATATATATATATATATATATATATATATCTTTTGATCTTTAACTGAATTTAAGGATTAGCTTTACATATAAAATAATGATCATTTATTGTATGTCTACTACAGGGTAAATAAATATTTGATTACATTTTACTGTAATTCTCTTTCTACTTTTTTAACTTTTCATTACTTTAATGTGGAATGTAAAGAAAATCAGTGTTATTACTTTACAAATTTGTTTTATACAAGTGCCAAAGTTCATAATTTATCACGTAATATTTTGTTATGCTTTCAGCAATATTTCTAACTTGGCTATGTACATATATTATCTTTAACGATCTATCATATTGTTATTCAATCATTTCATTATAAAATATGTATATTTAATATATCTTTTTTCAGTAGACATGAACCATACCATATAGGAAACTGATTAATTTAATTTAAGGAAAATAAATTTATAAAAAAACAAAAATATAAATTTATAAATTACGGAAGGATACGTCCAAAATAATACGTATGTCTAATATAGAATTCAAGTAAGCAATGATGAAAAAAATTCTATTAAGGAAAACATGAATTATAAATACATATATATATATAGCACAAATAGTAAAGGATACAAAAAGTCCTCCAAAAAATCCACTGGTTAAAAGGTTTCTTCTACTAATAAAGTATTTTTTCCATTGTCCTCCAGCTTTTAAAAGTAACATCGCCTGTAGAACAATATCATATTTATTGGATAAGGATAGCAAACTCAATATTTACAAAATACACAATCCAACTTATATTATATATTACCCATAATCCAAAAACTGCAAAAATATAAAAACCAAAACCATATAGTCCAGTTAAACCTAATAATCCAGCTGTACCTCCTGATAACGCTGCCATAGATATTCTGCAATATTCAACAACAGCAGCATTGTTCATAACAGCTGTCTCACTGTACGCAATAATTTCTGTAAAAAATATAATTTATATATAACTTATTCAATGAATGTGTTTATATTTCACAGTTTAAAAAAATTTGTAAACAATGCTATGTCAGGATATTAAAGTTTCATAGAGAACATAACCTCTACATTGTCTTTCACGTCAAAAGATAAAGACTTATTACATTAAGAATAATTATATGAATACCTAACCTCCTTTTTCTTGTTTTGTTTTAATCTTTCCCAACATGTCAACGTAGAGAATTTTTTAATAAATCGTGTAAAAAGAGATAATAAATAAACAAAATATTTCGATATATTGCTCCTCTAAATGTTACAAAGATTGCTTCAGGTTGATCTCATAATAAAACAAGTTACAGTAGTTACAGTAAGAGCGCGCAATATGTCTGTTTTCTTATTGGATAATTCTAGAATTGCAAAATAAATTGATACACAATCTATGTAAAATAAATATCTTTCAATATTTCTACAAACTTCAACGATTTAGTTAAAAATACACGATATATTAATAAATGTATTAATATTTCGAGAATAGAGGAAATAATCATAAATTAATTAAATGCCGAATGTGCAATATTAAAATGATTAATTAAATCTCGCTTATTTAAGAATTCAATTTTGACTGGAACTCATCTAAATAGGATTTTTATTTATTTCAGATATTAGATCATTTACTTTCTTGGCTTGAATCAAAATATATTTCAACTAGATCTTTCGAATTTTACTTTTCGTTAGAGAAGAAATACGATTACTTAAGACGACAGTACAAAATTATAAAAGGTAAAAAGTAAGAAATTAAGATTTAAAAAAAAAAAAAAAAATTCAAAAAGTTTGTTAAAAGATAGATAAATGAAATTTGGAAATTTCAATCTAATGAGTGACATTCAGAGTCAGGCAACTAGAAGGACGGAAAAGAATTTTTAGATGATGGCGCCGAAGAGAACGTTTTCATCTTTAGCAAGTCTTTTTCGAGAGAAGAAGAGATTGGTCGTTGTGATTCGATGCGAGGGGGCTAAAGCGGGGTGGCTTGGCTCGAAGACGAAAATAGCTAAAGAGACCCGCTCTCAACTCTCTCTCTCTTTCTCTCTCTCTCTCTCTCTCTCATTCTTTCTCTTTCTATCTTTCTGGCATTTGTGTTCCACCAGAGTTCTTCGAGCTTCGACGTTTTCTTTTTTTCTCGGCGGCTCGTCCATCGAGAGACAAGAAAAAAGAATCGAATCGTTCGGGTGCTCATCAGCCACGATCGATTTTAACGAACGACTTTACATTTCGAAAAAGATTGGGAAATCATCGAATGAGTTGAATTTGAAAAATTTTTAAAAGAAGATCGCGGGAAAAATAGTGCTTGTCGGTACGTGTTACATCTTGGCGGTGAAATTTTTACGATTTTTAACGAACAAGGTGTCTTCATGATATTAATAGTTTTACTTCGATTATTTACGACTTCTATGATATTTTTTCCTTCGTTGTGTAACTCATCGGATTTATATTCATCATAAGCTAATTCCTTTTGGTTAATAATCCTTATTGCATGTATGTATATACGTATATGTGGATACAAACGTACGACCTTATTTTTAGAGCACGTTTTTCTTATTTAAACAAATAATGCCTCATATAAAAAATAAATAGATTTTTTATTAGAATAATTAATAGAAAGTAATCTATTAATTAAAATCGTTAACATAATGATTTCGCTTAACGTCGTACGATATATACCATCATTTTTATGTTGAAACAAATTTCGCGTAGTAACAATATTTCGTTTTATCGTAAGAACGATTTGAATGATTTTTTTAATATCGAACGTGTAACATAAATTTTGTTAATTGTCTCCAGCCGGGCAACGTATAAGCGTGCCAAAGACCTTTACCTCGAAAACGAATGAAAATAACTATTCTTTCGTGAGTCTATTATATATATATATATGCATATATATATATATATATATATATATATATATATATATATAAAATATATATATAAACAGGTAGATTCGAACGCGTTCGTTTTTCATCGACTCTTCGATATTTCATATTTGAAGAAAATTGCGCGAATTTCAAATGGAATTGGATGCGATGGAAATTATTCTCTGTCCTCTATTTCGTTTAGGAAATTGCATTAACCTTAATCTTAATGAACAATGTAATTCTCGCGAATTCGAAATATAATTGGAATCATCGTGTAAAGAGAGAGGGAAAGGGGAGGGAGAGAGAGAGAGAGAGAGAGAGAGATGTACACACACACACACACATAGATAACATATAACTCATTCGGAGATATATGGACATGACTATTTCTGTTTCGTTGCTGGAAATAGGTTCGAGAATGAGACTGACGCGATATGTTCATTAACTTGCATCTATTTCCTCATCTATTTCCCTCATCTATTTCCTAGTCTTTAGGTTTGTGAATTTACATACCTATATAAGTTTTCGACCGATATTAATTTACATTCGATTAACAAAGAAATAAATCGTGACTGCATCTCGTGATTTTCTTTCGTACAATCTAAAATATAACAATTTTCGTGATCGGTAAATGATAGGAAGATCAATATTATCTATTTGTTTTACGACGTATAGGATGTAGCAAAGTTCTTACAATGATTCCTTATTATTTTGAGTATTTTACCGTTTGCGGATCATTTTTTGAAAATATAGATACAGAATATAAACCAAAGGAAATAGAAAAAATAGATAAGGGGTAAATCTGAAAGCGTTACTTGTTTGTATTACGAGGTGGAGCCTCGGATAAACGTCGAGCATGCGGAATTTGTTTAGTGTGTTTGAACGCATGCGTAGGATTTCATCGGCGGTAGAGCATTTGGCCTTCCAGGATTGTGAACATCCAGTCGGTGATCGTCGTCGTTTCGATCGGTGTTGCTAACAAAAAGGTCGCCGTCCTCGGCCTTTTCTATCTTTGCTTGTTCTTGCACCCTCTCGTAGTCGTCATTGTCATCAACGTCATCGTCGTGTGATCATCATTTTTGTGTAGGTAACTATTACCGAGTGAAAAGGAAAAGTTCTTCGGTCTGAAATTAAAGCTCGAGAAAGCTCGGGAAGTGAAAGAAAAAGAGGAAGAGGAAGAGAAAGAGGAGGAAGAGGAAGAGAAGGAGAAAGAGGAAGAGGAAGAAGAAGGGAAGATCATGCTTGAACGTGATAAACGTGTGTGTTTTTAACGTAACAACGTTAAAGGGCTACTTTGCCTTTGATCGAGTCGTAAGCACGAGCTTGTGAGCAGGAAGCTTACGAGCACGAGCTTGCGTACGTCGAGGAAGAGACGAAGATCGTTCTCGTTGTTGTGTGACGATATCGTAAAAGCTGGGTCGTAGCCGGTATGGCTGACAGCGAAGGTGGCTCCGAACAGGACGACGTATCATTCCTTCGTACGGT